GGCCGACTACACCTGGTCCTGCCATGCTCTGTTCCCCTTCCCGAGCCCCTGCCTCGGAGGGCCCGGGAAGCGGGGGGAGGGGAAGTGGGGGAGGAAGTGGGGTACCTCGCGGCCGCCCTGCAACTCTCCGCGGGCCCTAGGCCGAGTGGCCTAGCAGGTGCAAGCCGGGAGGTGGGTTGAGGGTTTTCGCCTAGGCGGAAACCTGTTTTCTAGCAGCCCAAGCTGACCGACTGGGGGTGAACTGGTCCCCTCCATCTGCCTCTGGTCTTTGGTGATTATTGGGGTTCCAAGCTCCTCGGCAAGAGCCACGTCATCTTGTCTTGTTGCTATATCCTGCTCTTTCTCCCGGTTCTTGGGTGGGTAGGGATTGGTCTGTGTCTGCGACTAGGTCTCTCTCCTTCCCTTCCAAACGAACGCTGGGCAGATTTGCTGCTGTCCCCCTTCCCCAGGCTTCTGAAGCCGCTAGTGATGGATGTCTCCTCAGAGAGTTGGGGCTGGCGGTTGGAGTTGTGCGGTCCTACACGCCCTTGAGCGCTGCATTTTCATGGCTCTCTTCTTTCTAGAGAATGACTTTAAAAAATGTGTTATCCGGTTTACATAGGATAATTGTACATTTGTGTGGAATAGAATATGCTTGTCAATGTTCGCGTCGTGTGTAATAAACCAAGAATATAGACCTATTCCTGTTACTCGACGTTGAATTTGACATTATGTTGTGCGCATCCCCAGGCGTTCGCATCAGTAGTGGTGTCAAACAGGAGTTTCACGGGGTGGAGAGAAGAGGGTGAAGATCACTTTTTCTTTTTTTCACTTCCTTTAATTTTTAAAACTACACCGAAGAAACGTGAGGTCAGAGAACCTAAATTCTCTTATTTTTCTTGCAGTTTCTTAAGTTGGTGGTTATCAGAAAACGCAAGACTAGTAGCATTTATTCAGCTGCTCTGTCTGGTTTCCCAGTAACTTTGCAGGGAGGTATCCAATTCCTTTACTATGGCTCTTTCTGGCTGCTTGCTCGTGGCTTAATAGGCATTTAATGACCGACTCCTTTTGGTTGGTTGGTACAGTGTCCTCAGGGATGTGGTCAGATAAGTAGAAACTTCAGGTAAAGTGGAACTTGGGTTTATGCAAGGAAAATAAAAGCATTCATCTCTGCATAACAGTGATGTAAAGAACCATTTTAGTCCTCTTTATTTAGACTCTTCCTATCTTTCCAGGCTGGGTTTTTCTTGCCTTTCTTTGTCTTCCTGTTGCATGATTGCACAGGAGAGAATGGGAGATGCAGAAGTTTACTGGTTTCCTCTTGGGACATATGGTGTTCTTTTTCCCTTACACATGCTTTTATGTGAAAACTCTTGATTGAAAACTACACTCACTAAATGGTTTGCCTCCAGAATCAAAATACTTAGAGCTAAAAAAGCCTTTCAGAGGTATAACCATCCTCCTCTTCAGTACTTTATTCTCTGCAGCCTTGTAGACAGCTCAAGTTGTAAAAATCGGTCAGCTCACAACCTTCTGGAACTTTAAGCCATTCTTCCAAAGCTACACTTTAATTTTTGTAAAACTCGGGCTCTGTTGTAATCTCATTTTCAGCCTGAGTATGGTATTGGAAAATACTCTCATAATGAATCTTGGGTGTTACTATTATAATATCTATAAGCTCTTATACCACCCTCAAATTACTTTAGGTTCCTTTATTCTCTATGTGACATTTTCTGACACATCTGTAAATAGTAGAAGGAAACTTGATGAGATATAAGGGAACAGTGCTTTAAAAATTACTGGCATTGGGGCTAGCAGGTGGCATGGTGGTTAAGGTACTAGACTTCCACATGGCTGACTGCAGTTGAGTCCCTGACCTGTGGCTTGCTTGCTCTGTCTCTCTCTCTCTCTCTCTCTCTGGTGAGTGCACTGACATATATGAAATTAAAAAATAATTATAAATACAATAAAATAATTCTTAAAGAACTAGCATTTAAAATATTTTAAGTACGTTAACTTAGTACATAAAGAGGTAGTATAACTTTATTTTCTTTTGAATGGATGTCTACCCTGTTTAGTTACCGTCCAATTATACCGATAACTAAGCCTTCTCTGTAGTGTATATTTTTCTTCAAACGTCATTGAAATGACTGAGCTAAGAAAAATCATTGGCTTTGTGACATCAGCAAATCAGTCCTTCAGATAGTTTTAAGGAAATCTAAGTTGAAGCAGGTTCTATTAATTCATCTGAGTGTGCGTGATAAGTCAAATCAATGTTTTACAATGGTTTCTATAGACAAATGGCACACTATTTATAGAGCATTTCCCACAAAACCTAAGATTGGAATCCCAGGTGAAAAAACAAGGAAGGATCATTAATCTTAGTGAGATCAACTTGAAACTTTTAAGGTCACCTGATTTGCAGAACATTTCTTGTAACATCTTATACCAGCTATTTTTGTAGGGCAATATCTTGGCATACTGATGAAAAAACAATCAACAGTGCTTGATTTTTAAATCTTAATCCACTTAATACTTGTGAAGCATTCTATGTTCCTTTATCACCATAAATTATACATGTCCCTGTCCTGTGGTCTCTCACATAGAGCGATTTTCCCTTGGATTCTCTGATGTTTGCAAGATGGCAACCTAATATTATAGAGGTATTTTTACTATAGCGCATGTGCACTTGCTGGAGAGACAAAGACAGATAGAAAGTGGGAAATCACTCCGTGGGGATGGATGGCCACGCCACAATCCTTTCTTCATTCTCATCTCTGAAGTTTGGGCATGTATGCACATGCCCCGTGTGTTTTAAGCCACCAGGTCTGGAACTCAAAGCACAGTTGAGTATGGAAGATCAAACATAACCATTATGCCATCTACTGGTCCCAGGTGACAACTTATTTTTATTTCCTGTATTTAGTAAGAAAAAATTGGAGTGGGTACATAGTGCTTGATTATCTTCAAAATACTTAAAATGAGAAGCTTTACATTTTTATTGTAAAGATAAAACATAGAAGTGGATTTAAAGTCACAAGTAAAATGCCTCTCTTGTCCTCAGTCCGTTTACCTTGACTCAAAATTAACCCGTGAACACACTGTAGGTCTTTCAATATAAAATTGTCATTGTCTGGGTCAGCAGGTGATATGGTGGTTAGGTTGCTGTAGCCTCTATGGCCAGCTCTTTGGCTTTAATCCTGGACCCAGTTACTTGGGAAACACTGCAGGCACTTGTGCCTGTGTACCCAAAATCCCTAGAGGAGAATGGGTTACAGTGTGGCCATCCTCCTTGGGGGAGAGTGGTAATTTATCATTTTACCCTTTACCCTTTTCTGTCTTTTTCCAGCAAGTGCATGCACGCTATGGCAAAAATCTTAAAAAAAAAAAAAAAAAAAAAAAAAAAAAAAAGTCAATATGCAAGTATATGCAAATCAGTTTACTTTTTATCGAAGATATCTTGGACATCTTTGTACACTGTGCTCCCCATCTCTTTGGCACCAGTGCATATTATTCCAATACTTGGTCCTGGATATTGTTACTTTATGGCTTTTTTTTAGTGCATTTTTATTATTTCAACTTGATGGGTTAAACAAAATTGCTAATAATTTAGAATGGTACTTCCTGTGAAGATGTCACATTTTTAAGGATGGAAAGCTTATAAATAGATTTGTTATTGGATAGTTTAGGAATTCTTTCTGTATAGCTTTATATTTTTAGAATTACTTTATTGAACTTTAATTTGACCAGAGATGGACAGAGTGAGAAAACGAGAGTGAGAGAGTGCGAGCGAGAAGGCAAGCACCAGGCCAGGGCTTGAACCATAGTTGGTCACGTGGGAGTCCAGTGCCCTTAGCCACCACACCATCTGCTGGCCCCAGGATACTTTCGTATAAACCTTAGACTGTAACAATCTTCCTTTTATTAATAACTTGGATAAAATTTGGCTGAAGGATTATGTATTGAAGGTAAATCATGAATAGTGGAACCAATATTTGATGATCATTTATTAATGATCAGTCAACTCTCTCATGTCTTTTTTCAGAACAGTGAATGAATGAATTGATATGAATAACAGTGGGTACCAATAACTGCATACTAGACATTTCTGTAACCTGGTTTAGCTGCCTTATTCCAATGTTGAGGACAGAAACTCTAAGCTTATGACTTCTGTAAGCTCTTCCAGTTATTGTGAGTTCTGACTAAAAATAAAACTCAGGTTATTTACACAAATTCAGAAGTGTTTATCTGTTGATATTTTCCTCCAAAGCTAGACCCACAAATGAGTTGTAAAAAAGATAGATTGACCATTTTATTTTTTTAAAAAAATGAAGTTAGTAGAATAAATCAGTTTACTGCATCTCACAATACAATACTTCTTGTCAAACTTATTTCAGTTTCATATATGTGTATTCTGGGAATATGTTTGTGCATTATGGTCAAATTTAGAAAAACTCTAATTGTCAGTGTTGAAAAGTGAAATAGGCTTGAAAAGACAGGTGGAAAATCACAAATGTCTGAAAATAGTGGAATCTGGGGTAAGTTGGGGTAAGTTTATACCTCAACTAGGAAGATAGTTCTATATAAGAAAATGCCACAATGAAAACATGCCAGTTAATGTAAAGTACAACCCTGTAAAAAAAAAAAAATCCTGTTTTAGCGAAGTGACATGTAGCAGAATATTGAGGCTATGCAAAGGGATTGTGGCAGGGATATTAAATCTGCCCAACTGGAAAGGACAGGAAAAATTGTTAATTATTTAATGGAAAAAGATGATCTGTACAAATTAAGGAAAATTTAATGAATGAGGTATTTGTTTTCCTTGTGTAATACCAAGACCCCAAACAGCTGGCTAAAATCATTGCCAATTCTTCATTAAAGCTGTTGAACACCTTGTGCTATACATATGGCACAACTAAATTAGACCACCTAAACTGCTTTTTGCATAATTGATTTGCAGTGAAAAGACCAGAGGGTGCTTCACTTTCTGACAATTCTAATTGAAAATGCACAATGTTCTCTAGCAGCAAATGGAG